TGAAATGGTAGTGCTACACTGCTGCAAGGCATTGTTCTGAAATCAATGGGCTCCAATATATATATATATATATATATATATATATATATATATATATATATATATATATATATATATATATATATATATACATATATATATACATACATACATACATACATATATATATATATATATATATATATATATATATATATATATATATATATACATGCATGTATATTAACATTCCATTGCATCCGGTTCGGACATACAGCGAACAAATAAAATTACCCTAAGTTTTACTCAAATTTGTTCTCAGGAATTGTCAACATCAGTCGCCATATAATAAGTTAAATGTCATCAAATTACTAATTTCATTGCAAATTCAAAAAACCGTTTAAATGCGTCTGTCTCCCGGAATATTCATAGTTACCTGATCATTATAATCATGGCCTGCGTTTCAAGCAAAGTGCACCCTTGGATACTGCTAAACTTATGTAAACATTTTGAAAGTGTACAAAATATTGTATTTGAAATGCCAATTTCAAAAAAGGCTGTGATATGTACGCAAGATGTACATCAACATGTTTTGTTATATGATACTCATAAACTTAGCAAAACGGCTCTACGGCCCCCTCCGAACACGACAGCACTTTTCAGCATTCCATAATGGCCCACAACTGCTGGTGTATTGCAAATGACGTGTTCAGCAGCTGAGTGCAGGGACGGAGACCTGCATTTCTGGCTCCCAGACCACACTGATTGCGTAATACGCCCATCTAGATGTCTAAATATTTCGGAATTGTTTCACATCTCCAATTCACCTGGTCACGTTTTGGCATCGACCTGAAATATCGCAAGCATGCAAAATAAGTTCAAGAAGTTCGTTAACGTCCATGGTTGGCGCGCAGTTAAGAGTAATGTTCGAAATATGAATGTGGGTGTCTGCTTGGAAGATATTTGCCAAAAATACAAAAATGGCGCGCCCGACAGTGTTGGCTGGTACACAGCTTCGGGTACTGAGGAAATATAAATACTAGCAACTTCCTGCTTGGCACAGCATGTTGTAATGAAAATGACAATGATTGTCCCATCTTTGGCTTAGCTTTCCGACCTCTGACCTGTCATGGAATCGACCAACTTACGTCGACGGTGAAAGAGTAACAGACGGTTTAAGCAAGCCGCACTGTTTGATACGTGTTTAATGAACCAAACAGGCGCCCTACACCGTGAGAAGTTCAGAAAATCAAATAACTGTCCATATTGCTCTTTGTAGCTTTAACTAAAACTCACCTCTGATGTCACCATGCGTCAATTTTACGACAGTATAAGACATAATTTTCTTGATTACAGATATCGTGCAATCCAATGTACTAAATGCTAATAGCTTTGGCAAGGACGGAGAGAGATAGCATCGTTTTATGCGTGCTCGAAGCTGGAGGAAGCCGGCCACGCGCAGGGAGCTCTTTGAAAGAACGTTACCGGAGTGTAGAAAGTTAGGTGCCCAATAATCTATGCATACCCTTTAATATATACCTAGGCGTTGAGATAATAACGCATTTAGCTATTGCCTATCGAATATTGCTACGTTTGCTATACGACCTCAGAAATATTTCAGACCATACTTTTGAACCACAGCTTTGATCGCCTTTAATCGCATAGCAGATTAATAGTCAAAGATTAGCTGTTGATAGCATGGCCTTACAAGCAGTGGTGTGATCAGGTCGGGGATGACGCAGAGTTCCAGTGTAGTTTACCGACCGGTGCAATGCAATTTCGAGGAAAGTGGGCACACGCAGCTTTTCCATTTCAGCTGAATGTTCGGAGGATTATGCTCAAAAGCTTGGGTTGTGAGATCGACAACTTACCGCGTATAGACGCATGGGCATGGTGGAAATAATTTAAGCAGCATTCTGAGCAAACAGCTACGTGTGCTTATCTTCGCTAACGACTCCATAGGTCGAAGTGTGTCGCCACGCCTTGATAACGTTCATCCCGCATGGTAAAAACTATCTTATCTAAGATACGTAATGAGGCTTGGCATCTAGGACAAAGAGCAGCGGGGAAGCTCGGCAGTTGGATAGGGGGTTTTCACTGTTCAAGCACGAAATGGTCGCGTCTAGCAGATGGGCTTAGAGGCAAGCCAGCAGATGAGAGATGGACATCTGTCAGTAACCGCGTAGAGCGTAACAGTGGAGAGCGGTAGCGTGCCGACATTGTCTTTAGTAGAATTCCCGCCCCGGCCGAGCCGCGCCTCGTCAGCCAGGTGTTGCCGCGGGACGCCCCACCTGACTCAGACCTCGACAGGAGGACACCTGTCGCGGCCCGTCAGGCATCGGCTCGCTGCGCCGGGCCCCTGCTGACGTCATCAGCCAATCAGCTGGCCGCCGCTGACGTCATCAGACAATCACCTGCTCTCCAGTTGCACCGCGACGCTCGGCTTGCACCGCGGCGCTCGGATTGCACCGGCCACCTACGTCACGGCCGCGGGTTACATGCAACGCGTGCTCCCTGAGCCGATGCCGTGCTTGGGATTTGGATGCCCTGCAATGCGCTGAGATCTGAATCGGGTAGCATGGCGCGTCGGGTTGGTTCTTTTTGCGAACGTTGTCGCTTTGTCTCATGCAAGTCCCCTCTGTCGCGAGCGGCACGTTGAAGTGTTAGAGGCTGCCCCACGAGGCTAACGCGTCCCCGCGGGACGTTAAAAATTACGTCCCTGGGGCATCATTTATTTAGCAAAGGGAACAACATTTGAGTTAGATATGTAATCGGACCATTGCCATCGTCAATAGAGCTGCCTTTCGCCCAGCCTCTCGGTCCGGCTTTCTCCGGCCATTGTCGAGAGTTAGTTCTAATTTTATATGTTTCCATTGCCTCAGTCTGTAGAGCGCAGGCCTACAAACCGCAAGACGCAGGTTCGAAGCTCGAAGGTGTCAGAAACTTTCTGGGTTGCTATGGATATGTATCCGTACGTTAAACGTATTCAGGTTATTTTAAGGACCAATGAGCCCTTGACGCCACAGATGGAGAAATTGACTACCTGCCATAGCTGCTGTCTGCAAACATCATCCGCCCTTGTATCCTCGTTCTCGCGTTTTACTACTTCTTGGCGGAGCCACGTTTGTCCGGGGCAACGCATGCGTGCACCAGCCATGAGCGGACCTAAGTTGGGGACCCCCGTCCGAGCGTCGAGCACACCAGCAGACGGATTCCCTGTGCGAGCCGCGGCGGATGGTTCCCCAAGTGTATGCAGTCTTGCCCCACCGTTGCCCATTCTCTTTCATCCCATAGCCCTGAAAAGGTCATGACTGGCCGAGAAGGCTCTAATTCGAGCAACCAAATAACCGAAACAAAGCAACGTCATCGGTGGACACAGTAGTAAAATAATCATGCCAGTCTTTCGACAACACGTTTTTATACGTGACATTACAGCCATTCCGGCCATTCGTGACCATTTCATGGCAATGGGATGAAGGGGAGCGGATAATGGTGGGAAAAGGCCGAGGGCACCTGCGAGTCCTTATCTGATACTTCGCCCTTATAGAAAATCCCTCTTCGGGGTACAAGCGGCCGCTAGGGCGGGGTAAACTCACGGCTGATGCACGCAGCTGGCCCCGGATAAGTGTGGCGTCGCGAGGATGCAGACTGGTGCGTGGATGAGGAAAATGGATGGATTTCACGGCGCGTGAAACGTTCTGTATGACCATAACTGTACGATGCATAAGTTTCTTAATAAAGCTTGGTTTTGGGGTAATTTGAGCAGGAATGGGAGGCTGGTCTAGCCCAAGACTCACAGCTCCATCCGCCCTTGATGCGATGCACGGCGAATCCAAGCGGAACACCGTGATTTAACGGTTGTGAATGAAGCAACATTGCTGGGACAACATCCGAAACTCGCGTTTGAGGAAATGGACAATTACGGCAAAGGACAGAGCTGGTGTGTGGTGAACGATCAAACTGCCGCGGACGTGTGAACGGAAATGACGTCATGTGCCGTCTATTGGCCAATCGGAAATAGCGATGCATGTTTGCACAGTGCGGCACAACACCATTCATTAGAGTGCCTTTATCATGTGGAGACGGGTGCCTACTCGGAGCAGACAGTCGTCTGCCCACTGGCGTCCAAATCAGATTCACTGGCAAAGGGCAGTAGTGCCGCTTGGGTTATCGTCCCCCACCGACAGCTGTCGCTGCGCAGATAGCGGTCGGGTTGCGTCTAATCGGGGTGCGTGAACGCGTGGCGGACTGCGTCAGACCGCGGCACCTGAGAACCGAAGCGGGATGAGGGTGCGAGTTTGTCCACTGCTTCAATACACACCGCCATAGATGTATTACTCGTACGCACACATGGTCCACGAAGGTATATGCTTGAGTGTCCCGCGACTGATAACATCGAAGGGCACGCTACATCTCAGATAATTACCTGCCGCTCGTAGAAACATGCACCAAAACGCTCGAGGCGTATGCTAGTCCTATGGGCTTGACTTGACTTTTCTATTTGACTTGAATCAGCGCCACGTTAATTCTCCTGCACAGCCCTCAGGCCGCGTGTGCGCTCACGTACAACCGATTGCCGGATGCCGACATGCCGATTCAAAGAACGCCAGGCGCAGGCAAAATAAGCCCTTACGAAACGCCATCAAAGTCCCTCGTATTAAATAATCCATTCATTGACAAGTGAACGACGGACGAATTAGAGATGTCCTAGTGCGCACCCTTTTCTTGTACTAGTTCCCACCGCAAAATTGCGCTCCGACAGCCAACATGAACAAAATGCCGCCCTCAGCAGATGGTCACCCCTCTCGAGTTCCCCGCCAACGTATGCATTGAACACGACGCAGCTGCTGCCACTAAGCCACACTGACTGAGATGAACCCAGACGCCGTGTCTGCGGTCTGGGGAGCTCGGCGTTACCGAGCGGCGGACAGGTGACGTCGCGTCCATGCCGCAGCGCTCCAGAGCTCCGGCGTCACAGCCACGAGCAGTGCTATGCCCATGCGCTGACCGCAGTCTGATAGATGCCGCGATGAGCATCTCCAGCACGTTATCAGATGAAGCTGGGCTCGGGCTGCAGCGAGCGATCAAGCACAAACGAAGCCGCGGGATTATGCCGAAAAGCCACCTCTGCCGAGGAGTCTCAGAACGGGTCCGTTCGGCAGCACTCACAATCGCCTTTAGAAGCCGCCTACTGTTTGGTTAGAAAAGACCACAGCACGATTTTATCGCGCGTTTAAGTCGCCGGAGCAGCACCTTTGCTCAGGTCTGGAAAATGTCGGCGTTAAAAACCCGTCAGAACGGCCATCTTTTAACTGTACGACGATTAGGACGTAGCCATTTCCATGGAAGTTGGTGTGACCACTGCTACACCTGTCATATCACGCGCACCATCCATGCACTTATCAACCGTGATCGCGCGCTTGGCATGGATTCAGGTAACACATGACATTCGCGCGGTCATTGATGAGGTAAAACTGGAGATCCCGATGATAACTCTGCAAAACCCTGGCCTGATGACGACAATAACGGTTATGGCATCCAGGAAGCACGCTTTGGTCCCAACATGGCCAGCTGCGGTCGAATTAAATGGCCGCTAACATGACTGCGAGCCCTTCCAAACCTCAACCGCCAGACAAAGCATGTTAGCACAGACGCAGCCGTCTATGCCAAATCCAGTATAAGCACGCCAGAGCAGCCAATGGAAAACAGGGGTATGAAGATCTCGTTGGTTGAGACGGAGGCAAGATACAGTGACGAGCGTTCCCGAGCGATATTCATGGGTTTTATCTGATAGATCATAGCATTTCAGCGGGCCATATGCGCGATTCGTTTCAACTGCTGCTTGGTTCGTACTGATACATGTATTCCGCCCATACCCCCAGAGTGGGCGGTGGGCAGAAAGGTCGTTTACGCTTCTGCGAACGTTTGTTCAACTCGAAGCGGTGAATGGCTAAGCACAATGGAACATGAGAGCACACAAAAACCAGAGGTGAGCCGTGCCTCGGAACGTGGCAAGCGAATAGATCGCGATTAGACCCGCACCCACTCCCCAGGACCGCCCAGTGTATCTCACGCGGCGGGGACGACACCCGTATTCAGACCCCCGTCTCGGCCATCAACTGCGCGGGAGTCATGCGGCGGCATCACCTCCGCTGGCAGAGTCTGGTGTGCGCCCTCCTGCGACCTGTCCACCGTGCCGTGCTGTGATATCATCGGCGGCACATTGGCCGCTGCTGCCAGCTGGCGTGCGCATCGAAGATCGGCCAGTAGCGGCCAGCTGACGTGCGCATGGAAGATCGGCCAGCAGCGGTCAGCTGGCGTGCGCATGGAAGATCGGCCAGCAGCGGCCAGCTGACGTGCGCATCGGAGATCGGCCAGCAGCGGTCAGCTGGCGCACGCATCGAAGATCGGCCAGCGTGGCCTGTCGGTCCGCTTGGTACGGCCGGGGGCCGGTGACCGGTCGTAATCGCCAGCGGCATGCCATCGCCGCTGGAGCGATGGAGGCAACCGTGATGACAAATGGGATTGAAGTTTTGAATGGATGGGTGGATGGCGAATTTATGTGATGAATTTATTTGTGTTTATGAGTTTATGTGAGTTTATGGTGAGTGAGTACATTGAGTCAATAGCTGCTTTTGAGAAGCATTGTCTGCACAGCAAGTACTTGTCAAAGTCAGCTCCCGGCTTTTTTGTCGGCAAAGCAACGTTATCGAGAATACAGCGTATTAACTCACAGCCGTTCGTCTTCGGAATACCTCATCGTTCAGCAGCTGGTTTGACTACACCCGTCTGCCAGCACCCCCCTCCCCCTTCTACACAAGGAGTGAGAATACGGCTGCACCCAAGTGCGAAAGAACACCTATAAAGTCGGGCAGTGAAAAGGATGATGTCGGTTGTGATGGTATCTGGGCGAGAGAAATAAACGTCCGCCGATATTTACATTTGCAGCGCTGGCTAAGGCGGATGCTATGGCACGCGAGGGCTTGTTGGCAGCGTCCACAGCAATGACGACATCGCCTCCATTAAATAAATTACACATGTGCAATTAGATCTCGGGTGCAGCGCATCTTGCCAGAGATAAAACCGCCTGATAAAAAGAAGCAGCAGTGAAACAAAGCCGGTCATGAACGATTTAAAGTATCCAAAGCCTGCCGGTTAGTTAACTAACGAGTAGCTTTTGTAGTCAGCGAACGTGGAGCGATGATGAAGAGGCTCATTCGAGACGCTTCTGGAGCCATTAGTCCAAACAATGCAACGATTTATTATTTCAATTACGCTCACGCTGCGCGAAGCGGAGGGCTGCGCGGGCGGCACCGGTTTGTGCACTTGTGTACGGTGTGGGCGCGCAGTGCACACCGTACTGCACCACCCACTGCACACCGCACTCCTACACTGCACCGCCTACGGCACGAGTCCTCCACCGGCGGCTCGCGGTGACCTCGGGCCAGCAAACGTGCCGCGAGCGACGGCGTAAGCCTTCCAGCCAGCGCCGAGCTAGAGTGGGCCCGCTGCCCACTGCCATAAGCTGCTTGCCCTTGGCCGCCGGGTTGCTCAGCATCGGACAGGCCGCGGGTCCGGTCCGGGTCTCCAGAGACCCGAGGGACCCGGCAGGTGCAACTCTGTTCATGGCCGGTCCGGGTCTCCAAAAGACCCGAGGGACCCGGCAGGCGCAACTCTGTACATGGCCGGCCCGGGTCTCCAAAGACCCGAGGGACCCGGCAGGCGCGACTCTGTACATGGTCGGCCAGAGTCTCCAAAAGACCCGAGGGACCCGGCAGGCGCGACTCTGTACATGGCGGGCAGGGTTTCCGTCAAGGACAAGCTTCGGTTATCGCAGGCCCCAGTGTTCGATGAACGACGTGCGTATACTCAGCACTACACTTGTGGAAATAATCTGGCGCGACAGGTGAAACGCGATCTAACGAAACAAAATATCGGGACGGATGGCGCAAGTCCGGGGTGGGACAGCCTCTGGGGTGGTGCAGTCTCCCGGGCGGGGCAGTCTCCGGGGTGGGGCAGTCTCTTGGGCGGGGCAGTCTTCGGAGTGGGGCAGTCCGCGGGTTGTCCGGTTAAGACCAGTCTCCGGGAATGGGCGGTCTCCGTCTTTCCGCGACATATGCATGGGCTGCTTTATCTACGGCCAAGTCTTTCGGGAAGGGAATATCATTGTTAAGGCGGTGGCAAGCGGCTGGGAACCGACTCTAACAAAACTGTTTAAGTTAAGCAGCGCTTAACTAGTTAAGCAGTTAGATAAGCAGCGCTTAACGCAAGACCTCAGGTCACCGAACGCATGCAAGAGTGAAAGATGGACTACGTGGTGACTGGCAGCACAACGTTCGCCAACCACGCCGGCAGAACGCAGTGCAGAATGCTTAAGCTGTCGCCAACGTGAATCAGCGGTACAGTTGGCAGCCCGTTGGCGACTTTCGCACATCAAAACCAACCGCAATGCTTCGCCAAAAGTGGTGACACCGCTGCGACGTTTAGGGATCGGCCCCGGCAACCGAGACCGCCGAGCGTGACAACCTCAACAGCTGTGTCACGATACCCGATCCGCAGCGCCAAAACGCGACCGATTCAACACGACATAGGCCCGTCGTCTGGATCTCGACGCCGGATGGCCTTGCCTTGCGACGGTGGCCGGGTGTCCGCGACGCCCTGTCTTGTGCGCCCCCCGTCCACACCCACCTAGCCACCTGACCGGCGACCACGAACGGCGCACGCCCGCCGCGCCGGTGAACCAGCGCCACGTGCCGGCCGTTCTGCCACGTGCAACGCGTGGATGCGACACAGCCAGCTGCGTTCCATGAACGATCGAGTGAAGAATCCGGAGGCGGTCGCGAGGTGGCCCGACCGTCTGTGGCTTCGGCGCAAACTGCGAGGAAATGGGCTGATGCAAACCGGCGTGCCGAGTCCGCACTGCATCTGCATACCGGATCAAACTGGTTTCCGGGTTAACGCCCGGATTCTGTGTTCATTTAGTCTAACCGCGCAGGCATTGGACGCCACTTGAAGGGACTGTCTTTGCTTCGTCCCGTTACTTCGCTTTTCATCATGTCATTTGGGAGCATTGGTTTCTCGAGGCCTTGATGGACACGGACACATAACTGCACATCCATACCATCATTTAAAAGGTGGATTCCTCACAGCACTTCCCCCAACCTGGACATTCAAACAACAGAGCCTGGCGTATGCGCAAACTCTGTGCAGGTGCGCACAGTGTTACCGGCATGTATCCGGTAATATCCTTGCCCTGTTAAGCCGCAGGGATGATTGCATGACGTCATCTTTGAGGCCACGTACATTTAACGCTGATCTCAAGACCTCAACGACACAGAAGAGATTACACGATGCATGAAAGTGGCATTGCCTGGAGCCTCTTGCTGGACCGGTCGCTGGTAGGAGATTACTAATCTTCACGGATTGACAATTGGCAGCTGGCACAAACGGGCGCCCACCGTCGCTTATCCTGCATGAACTTCACACAATTTCGTATAACCCCGTGCGCCTTATACGCGCCATTGTGACCTATGCTAGGGAATATCCCTGCCCTACGAGCGGTTATCAGCCGTGCAGGAACAGAGGCGTCTTGGCGGGGCGCACACTGGCACGATGCGGAAATCCGTCGCAGAGCCAGCTGAATTGGTGCCAGCATGGCTGCACAATGACAGCGCAGCAGAACAGGCAGAATAACGGTCATGGAGTCGGCAAAAATGCAGCCCACGTCAAGGGAGCAGGTGGCCAACATGCAACGGCATTCTGTGTAGCGAGTTGGATAGACGTTGAAGGTCGTAACACCTGATTCATGCGCCCGAACACAACGTGACCCAAACTTCAGTGCAGCGCGACAAATAAACATATCCACAACAAGCTCTCAAAAACTTTGTGAGAAAATGAGGGATTGGGATACACGCTCGATCTGCGATACCGCACTGCTATTGGGCGAAGTTTCCGACTTCGTTTGGAGCGTCAAAGCCCGACTCGCCGACAACTTGAACACCGTTATTCATGCACAGACGGGCGCAGGGCCCGCGTTCCACAAAGTTTGACGCTTATTGGCGCCAGTCAGGTGTAGGCTGTTTCGAAATTCGCGCTTGCTCCGATTCATCATATTTTGGCGGATGGCTCCAATCCCGCCTGACATGGATCAGTCACAGCGGGCTCGCGACTGGCGCCGCCCATGACCGCCGCGCCGCTCCTTTCCCTCGCTTACTCCATTAAAGTGGTTTCCTTTTAATCGGTGTGACCATAATGACACCCCGTAATCGCCGCGCGGCCGCAAACGGCCGCAGGGCGGTGTGGTAAGAGTGCCAAAACCGTCCCGCTCGCGTGCCTCGGACTGGAGCAGCAGCCGCGTGCCATGCGAGGGAGCTGAATCGCGGCTAGAAGATGGCACGGAGCTGCGAGAATGTCCATTTTGATGTTCACATCATCTAGCCAAAAAAAGCTTTGCTGCACACGTCAAATGCAAACATACTTGGCACTGGACGTTTTAAGTCGACTGAGATGAACGGGGTACAATTAATTATAAAATAGTGGGTTAGGTCAGGTAGACACCAGTTACAGGTAGGTAGACGCCACGTAACAGCACAATGAGAACTGCAACACGAAACAAATCCATGGAAATATCCTGAAAAATTATGTAGAATGCTTATTATAGGATTTGCAATCGCCAAATGCTCCGCTAATTGTCATGCAGGCAACCAATCCCCGAAGGCGGGGGCTGCGAGCACGTATTGAAAGTTGCCGTGATGCCATGGATTCCGACGTGTTTGGTATCGCCCAAGCACAAAAATAGCCATTCTTCCCAAACTTTCTGCAAAATATGAGCACCAACGACCCGGTGGTAGCTACGGCCCCAACTACGAATCAAAAAGCATACCTGAACCACGTACGAGCTTAACAACATAGCGATGGAAGCCTTTAGCGGGCATGTGCCGCTTCGGATCCCCGGAAGGACGGCTGACTTGATCTGAATTTCCGAAGGAGCACGCAGGAAACCATCTCAGCAGTCAGGGCCTGTCAGCTGGCGATTGCCTTGAAAGGCTGTCGCGTAGCTAATCGTTCCACGTTGGCCAACCGCCGTCCACCCGTCCGGACATGTGACGGTGCCTCTGCGCAGCGACCAGTGGCATGCTTGGCAGTAAAGCTGTCAAACGCTGATATGGACAAGCGAGATACAAAAGAATTTATCGATATAGCAGACAAGCGACATGAAAAATCGGATTTTCTATTGTCTGTGTTTTGATGAACGAAACATGAACGAGTGTGTTCACTTGAAGCAGCGGCGGAGCGACACATCAGAGCAAGCCGGCGCGACCGTTTGCTATCTTTTGTATGGACTTTTCACATTTGTGGATCATTCAGAGGAGGGGGGCTAGGCACGTTAATTGCTCTGCTCTCGTTATGCAAGTCTATATGATCGATAGTCTTAGCGTGCAGTTCGCATAACATATACGGGGTCCGACTTTAAAGCTGGATAACCAACATTTTAAATTATTAACGGTTATTGTATATGTTTTGCCCAAAGTTTCAGGCAGGCTAGAATTCAAGCAAACCTGATTTGATGTTGACCGTCATTACTACCTTACAAGCACAGCACATAAATGTTGCGGCTGGCCACTGTCCGTCGCTATTTCGGCCCAGAAGTCCGCCTTAGATAACAGGAGTGCATTCACAAATAACCGGTATCAAGAGAATTCGACAGAAGTGCAGCATATCCTCCAGCATATCCACAGCGAGGGAAGCGTCCTCTTTGTGTCCTACATTTCGTGTTTTTCCATTCACGCGGATCTGAGCCTAACCTACGCTTTCACTCCCAGCCACCGGGATGCTCATCGCAGCTGAATGTATTTCCCCTCCTCGTCACATCCGGAAGTCACCAGCAACGAAAGCAGGATGTGGCCGGAGTCCTCCCACCACGTCCTGCTCACGTTGCTGGTGACAATCCGGATATGACGCTGGAGGGAGACTGGGCTGCAATGTATAACGCCCTGGGTACCTTCCGGTGGCCTTGTCCGAACTCGGGCTCAATCTCCCACTCGGAGCTGAGGTCGTCGCTCGAGGCGTCGCCGTAGTCCATGGACGAGTGAGCCGACATCAGGCCGCCTCGGAAGCACTCGTAGCCCGCCCCCGGGCCGGCCATCGCTGTCTCCCGTCCGCCCACGTCACGTCACCGCCGCCCACGTCACGTCACGGCCGGCTCTGGGCCGGACTGACGTTCGGGCCCGCAGCGGCCCACTCGGCCGAGGCGGAGGCGCGGAGTTCGCGGCGGCGGCGGACGTGAGGCCTTCGGGGGAGGCGGTGGCGCGGCGTGTCGCAGCGCCGCGGCGTGAGAATCGCGGGTCGCACCCGTGAATGTCGCAGCGACACACTAGAAAATGATGTCACTCGACACTGGCCAGGTGATGCTGCTTCGCTCCGGCAAACCACACCGTGTTGCTCCGGCAAACAGCACCGCTCCGCTCCGGTAAACGACGCCTACTTCGCTCCGTCAAACGACACCGCTTCGCTCCGGCAAACGACGCCGCTTCACACTGGCGATGATTTCCGCGTCGTCGCACTGGGCGTTATTACATAGGTCCGAGGCTCGGCACTGGCGGGTAGGCGTGCGGAGGCGGGGAGCGGGGGCCACGCCCGAAATACACAGATGAATCACAGTCCTCGCACGCCACTCGTCCCAGGCTCCCCGCCAGCCGGACAGATCTGTGTTCCGGGGTCCACGCCGATCGAGTATGCGTTCCCGCACGTCCAGAACAAGGTATGGGATACACTCAGAGGAGTTGGCGCTGTGGCCCACTGCTGTCGCTCCGTCGGCGGTCCTGACGAAAACAGGCCGCCCGTATTCGACCGACGACGTGCCGCCAGGCGCGCGCAACGCACCCCGGACGTGTACAGCCTCTGACAGAGCCTTGTCGGCGCACGACCGCAGCCTCTGTGCGACTGAGTCGCGGTAATTTGGGAGCGGCTTGCCGACCCACGCAGCCGCTGTCGTGGGCGAGCACATTTCGGCAGATCAGCGCCAAAAAGGCGCTTAGACCAGCTGACGGCCGTCAGAGAAGCCCCTCAGCCAAGCGAACCTGCTATAATCACGACGATAATCAGGCTAATATCACGCAGATTGGCTAGCGAGGCTCGCACAGCTGTGGGCAAGAACGGCGCCGCCGCCTGCGTCAGGTGATGCCGTCCGCCCGACTCAGATCGCTGCGCAGGAGTGCGGGCGTCAGGCTAGGCCGGCCGCGACTCGTGTGGGGCATGTGCGCACCTGCGCCTGCGTCAGGTGATGCCGTCCGCCCGACTCGGATCGCTGCGCAGGAGTGCGGGCGTCAGGCCAGGCCGGCCGCGACTCGTGTGGGGCATGTGCGCACCTGCGCCTGCGTCAGGTGATGCCGTCCGCCCGACTCAGATCGCTGCGCAGGAGTGCGGGCGTCAGACCAGGCCGGCCGCGACTCGTGTGGGGCATGTGCGCACCTGCGCCTGCGTCAGGTGATGCCGTCCGCCCGACTCGGATCGCTGCGCAGGAGTGCGGGCGTCAGGCCAGGCCGGCCGCGACTCGTGTGTGCATGTGCGCACCTGCGCAGTGGCTCGTGTGAGTGATTGTCACATTAGCATGGCAGCAATAAGTGCGACGCGAGGGTCCAGGTAGTGGGCGGACAAATCGCATTTAGATTATTGTAAATGTGAAGCAAACATGCATCGCGCATGAACGCTATATGGCCATGCAGTCGCGGTACCTGAAAGCTTAAATAATCGTTAAAACAAGTATGCATTGGTATGCCAGACAGATCCATGGCGGAATACGCAATGAAGCCGAAGCGATTGCATGGAGATTTTTGTTGCGGTGCTGCTGCATGCTTCGAACTTTAAGACGCAGGCTGCTAGTGCCCCACAAGAACACAACCAACAACGTTCGAATCAGTTCAGGAATTAAAATTCTACACTTTTCAGAGATAGCCTAGTCCTCGTTTCTGAAATTCAGCACGCATGTGACTTCAGGGTGTCGCGTGAAACCATTCAGTCCTCAATCCAAACGAGGTGCCGACTATCTCTGCAGAAAGCTGCAACTTTAAGCATGTCGAGCAAAAGAGCACGCTGATGCCTCACATCACCTACATGCCAAAGCCAGGCGTAATCTCCACCGAGGACTACGGACTAACCACGACGGATCGCCAACGCCGGCTCTGATCAGGTGTACCTCTGGCTCGGCGGCCGTCTTCAGGGCGGGTGCTCGCACCGGCAGCATCCCGCACGGAATGGCCCCGAGTTCGTGGACCCGTCCGTGGCCCGCGCGCCGCACCTGCACCACTTGGGCGCTGGCCAGGGTCAGCTGTGATGCCGCCGAGTCTGCCGCCCAGCTGGCGGGCGCAACCGACCTCAAGCTCGCCACTGAACTTCAGATGATGGATGCAAGGTCTGACGGGAAGCCCGAGCGACTCAAACGCTGGCTTCGGGGAGAGTGTTTGTGTTGCCAAAGTAAATTAAAACCGTTGGTTCTCTTATGGCCCGCCGTGTCAGTCATGCACCTGTTCCAGTTATACGGATGTCAGGGGCGTAATGCTGCCAAGTCAGTTGGAGCAGGGGCTGAGCCAAGTAAAACTGACTAGAGCTATGTCGTCATCAGGCCCAGTCCAATTTCTCCATGGATTAATGTGCTTCCCGTTTGAGGCTGGTGAGTTACGAGGGAGAAGGGGGGGGGGGGGGGGGGGGGGCGGCGAAGTTCGCCGGCTGGCATCCCCCCAGCTGAGAAGGACACTACATTTGTGGTCGCTGTTCTCGCAAGGTTACACAGTTACAGAAAACCTTCGAGTGATGTCGCGAAATTAAAATTTGTGAACGCACTGAGGAAGATGGTTGAGGTCATTTATCATTGTTTCGCAGTGCTGAGGCAATCAGTCCGTAAAATTTCGGCAGGATTTCTGGGTAAACTTAAAAGTGTTTTACCTGGCTCTTCTGCGTTGTCAATACTGATAGGCCAACTTTGCTCATTGCTATGAGTTTGTATCTCGCTAGAATACCGACATACTGATGTCCACTTAACAGTGAGGCAGAAAAGCTTTCGGGTTTTAGCGCCAATCCCCTGTTTACTTTTCCGTCCTCTTTTGACGACAGTGATCTCCAGAGACCTGAAGACCTTGAGGCCACGCTGGTGGCCCCACAGGTTCACTGTTAACACGAAACTCGCTGGTATTTTAAGCTAGGGGACGTGAATAGGTCACCCGTGTTCGAAGCCTGTAATTCACGAGGTGGGTGGTGCCAAGCGCAATGCGACAACACCCCGCATTTGACTGTCAAACTCAATTTAGATCGGTTTTTAAATCGCGTAAATACACAGCTCGCCGCACATACCAGGAAACTGCACTCATCTGGGTGAGTTCGTAGACCACCGAGTTCCCGTGGAGGATGCCCGAGGACGATGGCAGGTCACTAAGCGCGCGTCTTGACTGAACATGCCGTGATGACGCTGATAATTTCAGTCTGTACACTCCGCTGGCGCTTCCTCGATGAAGTGACTGGCGAACTTTTCATACAAATCACATGTGGGGGGCTTTACCCGAGCCTCCCGCCGTTTGGCAGCCGTCGAACCCCTAGAGAGCACGGTTGATCACTTTATAGTCGGTGGTTTATTACTCCACCTCAGCAAACATCGGCCATTTTTAGGCTGCTATCGGCTACGCCAGCACAACTCGTGAACACAAAGGAGGAGCGGGAAATCTACCACAGCGACCTCTGGATTTGTAATACACAATACCGACCACGTTAAGAGCCCTGATCAACTTGTACAACAGTTAGATGGAGCAATGTACGTCGCCCGCCAGAATTTCTGTGCGAGAGACGCGTGGGCTGACTGGACAGCGTCGGCAAGACGACTGAGCCAAACATCAGGACACCACCACCGGCAGGGCACCCTGCGGTCTTGGACCAAAGACGGTTTTCAGTCTGCGTCGTCTTGCCTGGGCAACTGCCAAACCGTCAAGGAGATTCCCTGCTTGAGTCCTGGCACAGGGAGCTCCCGGCTGGTGTAGCGCTCTTCATTATCCAGCCTAAATCCGTGGATTCGACAGGGCAGGGTAGGAAAACCCCGATCAACACAGATTATGACCAAATTGCATCCAAAAGCTGGTTCACACGAATAGATCGGGAAAACACTGGTGAGCCCGGCACATCGGTCCAATGGCATGAGGTCAGGGGTGTTGACGAGAGCCCTTGGCTCCACGCCTGGGCCAGAGTTTAACTCTCGGTCATGGCCTGGCCACTGTGCGCTAGCAAGACAATAGTAGTCACCGGCGCTCCACAAGAAGGGTGCGCGAAGACGTGCGCAACGTTCTAGCAAAAAATAAAAACGTGGGATATGCTGAAACTTGAGGCTTTCGTGCGAATCAGTTTTAAAGTATGTCTGATGTGGCGCACTTAATCAAGCTGGATTTGAGATTTGCGGGGCGAATCGGTGAGTGGATCAGATTTCAAGTTAGCAGACTGAACTGCGCTGCATTCCGAAAGTTTGAGCCGTGACGGGGAGATTAGGTGACCGGGTGAGGTCTGGTTCCTTCAGCGAAATGTCCTGTGGATGATCTAAGGTAAATGTGGTTTCCTACCTAACAGCCAACTCGACATGGCATTTTCCGGGATGGGTGAGCACTCCTTCAGCCACATTTCGGATCTGCGGGATTAGGGACAGTGGTGACAGCTGTGCGGCGGGGTGGCCATCCTGGCTCATCACCGGTACCGAGACCAACCACGCGCAAGCGCCCTCCGTCCATGCGCGTGACCGTGTCTAGTTGCGTGCAGGTGTGCTGAATTAGGAAATGGGGTGGATACAGTGGCATGGCACTGCGCTTGCTGGATACGCAGGAAACGCTCACATTAAGGAACTAGCTTTTTATACTGAGGGGCGTATCATGCGGTTTTGTCCACGTCAGTGATGATAATTTGCGAGTACTGTTCCAACTAGAGCTTTGACCTATAGTCGTCAGACGCTACTCATCGGCCCTGGGAAGGATATGAGCACGTATGACCCGTACCCATGAAAGCTTGATCTCGACGGTTTCGGGCAGTTTCAAGCTTTGAACCTAAAACCTTACAACTGGCAAAGGAACACTCGAACCACCTTGTCACTGAGGAGTATGATTTACCCCTCCTCCTCGGTGGTTAGACACTTCGTTAAGAGGGTTGAGATTTTACGGTTGAGATTTTGCCGGTTAAGATTTAGTAGGCCTGAAGCTTAAGCTTGTAGAGACCTGCGATGCCAAGATACATACATCAGCAGTGAGTTCAGGTCCACGAAAAAGTTATCTGAAAAAGGGCATCTGACCAGAACGACGGGCACATCATAGTGTTTCAAGGCTTACACCCCCATTGGGTCTGGTTGGTCAACGCCACAGGTGTCCCTGAACCATAAAATTCCATCAGGGAGGGGGGGGGGGCACACTCCGAGCACATAACACGCGATTTCTTTATTTTCTGTTCAAAGTCATTTTTGGTGAAAAGAAAAAAATTCGGGCCAAAGGGAGAAAGTCAACCCCCTCCCCTCCCTGTGCTGGGTCTCTTTTGCATCGTTGCCACATGAAGTAATGCAATGTCACTGATTCATTGTCGTGTCACACATTACCGGATTTTGCTTTGACGTTTGTTTTACAGAAGCTCAACTTCAACCTCAGGCTAACTAGCTTAAGAAAAAAATCAATACGAAAACCTGAGGCTCGCTATCTCCCCCTCAAGTAGAAAGATGGCAAACATCCTGCCAAGAATGGGTTGACTAGCAATGGTAAATTCTGCATGGCGAACACGTAACCGACATATCGGGCAGGTACACCGCAATAATTATTCGAGATTATTCCCCTTTGCAGTAGATGCATAGCATTGATTCATTTAATTTGGCAGCGGCTGTCCTTGGCAAACGCGGATCCAATTTTAAGAATAGTGATTGTCCATCAGAAAACGACAACATCTTGCTCGATACGCCTGTCACCAACAAAATAACCAACCAAAATACGATATGAGCCTTAAGCCAGCCCTGCACCACCTTCAGCACTACCCGCCACTCTCAACACACGCACGCACGCAAGGCATACCCAGGCACATTCACTCGCCCACACGCACACACACGCACGCACGCACGCACACACGTGGGCACGCACGTACACACACACACACACACACACACACACACACACACACACACACACACACACACACACACACACACACACACACACACACACACACACACACACACACACACACACACACACACACACACACACTCGCACAGACACATACACACACAACGTCCACGCAATGCACGTAACTAAACGTGCCATCTCTCTTGATCGTACCCTCTTGGTCATAATCCAGGATGCCTTTATCGTTTCTTGGCTCAGAAGGACGCAGACAAGGGTTTAGTCGAACCATGTGTGAACAAGGGTCAACGGTCAAGGGTATATGTTAACAGCCAGCCGACAGCTGCTGACAGTAGCCGTAAATGGCCTAACGTTCTTAAAATGAGACAGTCATGGCTAATGAAACGTTTTTGGTTCGCACAGGCTGTGTGAATAGCCCATGGCACAGTTTCAGAAGGGCTAGACCCTAGCTGGTGAGTCGAGGTTGATTATCGTTGCCAAAGTCATTGCGGGTGGAAATAAGTGTGGAGCCAAATGGCTCACAATTCGCTGCATGTTTGAATATCGGGCGTCCGCGGGTGTAGACTTCTCAAGCGCACAAGGGCCGCATGCCGTGTGATTCGTGGGTAGCCCACCCACTTAACCCATGTAACGAAGAGATGACCTGGCGTAAGCAATTCTCTTCTAAAAAATATTCTTACAAACGTTGGAAATCGCATCAACAGCCTGTGAGGAAATTTTTGCGTGGCATGCTTCAAGATACGGGTGGAGTGTTCCTTTAACATGCCCGCGATTTCCAGTCAGGCGGCGCACGATCGGTGGCTTAATGGGTCACGTGCTCCCGGAGCGTCGCAACCGAACGTTGCTGTGCGGGGGCCAAGAGACTCTTGCCAAAAACGAGCCCTTGAGTATGTATGGTGACTAGCCTGCGCAGAATTAAAGGGTCTGCTAGATCTGCGATGGATTCGAATGAAATTCACCCGACTTACCTGCCAGCAAGCTGACACAAGCATTGCTGGCGCTGTGTTGCCGTGCTTACCTTGTTCCTCATGGGTCCCTGGTTGGCAGTGAGGGTGGTGGACAGCTCCTCCTCTTCGTCCTCCTGGCTGATGGTGCTGACGCTGCTGCAGGAGCAGTCAGACACCTTCCTCAGCGCATCACCGTCCTGCGCAGCCGCGTCGCTCGTCTGTGTCACCGTCAGCGTGTGGCCGCGGCTCTCGGTCACCTCCGGGACCCGCGGCGGTCGCGGCGGCGGGTCCGGCTCCAGGTCCAACGAGGGCTGCCAGGCGGGCAGCCGCGGCTGCCGCCACGGCGGCTCCGCCGTCCGCCGCCACGTCGGGTGCAACGACGGGCTCCACTCGAGGTCCAGCGCGCACCGCCAGCCGCGCGGTCGCGCCTGCTTCCACTCTATGTCCAGCGAGCGCTGCCACGGCTCCTGCGCCTGCGAGCGCTCCAGGTCCAGCGAGCGCTGCCGGTGCAGGTCGAGTGAGCGCCGGTGGTGGCGCAGGTCGGGTGTCAGCGCACGCTCCAGCCGGCCGTCACCTCCGAGCACTAGGCCCTCGGCCTCGAGGTCCACCAGCGAGCCGCGCTGGCTTAGGTCCCGACCACACGAGCTCACCGTGCTGCAGGACGAGCAGATGGAGAGCCGCCTGTCCTGTGGCATCGTCGTCTCCCAGTCGTCGAGCGCGCGGTGCGCTGTGCCGCCGTCCTCCTGGCTGTAGTCGCTCACTACCACTGACGGCGCGCTGTCCAGCATCATCAGCGGCCCCTCCACCGGCTCCGTCGGCGCCTCCGCCGGCTCGGGCGCCGGGGCAGCGACGGCGCGCTGCTGGAACGCCGCGCGCCGCTGCTGCGCCGAGCGCCGCGGCGCCGCCTCCTCCGCGCAGCCGCACCGCATCAGACTGCCCAACGACTGCGACTTGGGCGCGTGCGTCCAGCGCGCGGGCAGCCGGCGGAACTGCGGCCGCCGCGGCCGCCGGCCGGCCAGGTCGTCCGAGCTGCGCCAGCGCGGCCCGCCCAGCACCAGCTCGCGCAGTCGCAGCCGCAGCACGCCGGCCGGCTCGCCGCACGTCCGCTCGGTGCCGTAGCGCGCCGCCGGCACGCCCAGGTGCACGCCGTCGGCCGGCGCCCAGCCGGCGGCACCCAGCTTGCGGGACCGGTTGGCCATGGCGCCGCGCCGCCGCTAGGCGCGGCGCCCGGGTCGGCGTGACGCGCGCGCAAAGGTCAGGCGGCGTGGCGGCCGCGCGCGCGGGCCCGCTGGAGATCCGCTGACCTGGTGCTGGTGACCCTGTGCCCGGTAGAGCCGCGGTCCACCTAACAACCTCGTACCGGACACGCCGCTCGCAGATGCACCCGAGATCACGTGGGCACCAAGCGCGGTGGGCTCACTAAATCGCACAATTCACAGCGGCCAGACGTCCCGCCCTCCACCCAGCATCCGTCCACCAATTTTTCACTGCACCACCGGGCACCAACCACCGCTGCGCTGCACACCGAACCTCTGCACCGCGCGCCGGCGCGCTGGGCCCTAGCTCTCGGCAGCGTGGCACGTCGCGGGTGCTCGCCGCCCGGTCACACCGCGTCCGATAGCGTGCGGCGTCGGCCGGCCGCCGCGCCCGACAGAGGCGGGCCCGGACGACAGCCGGGCGTCGCTTCCGGCCCTGGATGCGGCGGCGGCGGCCGGCGCGCTTGCGAAACGCCGCCGCCGCGCCGCCGCGCCGCCGTACCGCGCGCGGCACTTTCACCGGTCAGTGGGCGACGGCCGGGTCAGCTGATGGGTGCATCGGCGGGTGCTGGGGGTGTCGGCGTGCTGGGGTGCTGGGGATGAGGCTACGAGCGAGGGGATTGGGTTTGGGTGAGCGGTGTTTTTGGGTGCGATAATGAGCTGGGTATTGTGGCTCTAGTTATCCGAGGATTATGTTTTGTTTGGGACAGCATCGTTTTGTATCAGTGTGTCGGGACTTGCGCGAGCTGTGTGTGGGGGGAGGGGGGCAGCTCGCTGAGTGAGACGATCAGCAGCTGTAGCTTTCTCTAATGCGGACACCAGACACCTCCCCCGCCAGTGTGCGTCACCATATGAAGTGGTTGGTTGGATGAGAGCTAAGACCAGTTGTAAGGCGGGAGCAAGACCCATTTAAAGCCAAGGCAGCGGAAAAGTGCGGCGGATAACGTCGGATAGCTGAGTGACGCCACCAACGCCATCTGTGTGCGGTCAGCGGAGTTGCGGTCGCCACTCGCGCCCGTCATCGCTGCCGGTTACCACGCGGCCCTCCCACCTCCCGCCCCCTCTGTCCGTCGCCTGGATTGGCGCGGAACCGGCACCGTGCCGCGCCGCAGCCGGCTGACATTTCAGCCCGGCCGCCGGCCGCCTGGCAGGCTGGGGCGCGCCCGGCCGATTTGAGAGCCCCTGACTGGCGCTGACGTCAATCAGCGGGTCGTGACGACAAACTGACAAACAGCGGTCCGCTGTTTGTGCACGGCGCATCGGGCCGCGCCGTGAAAGCCGCGCCCCAAGGCCGCCGGCGGCCGGCCGACCGAGCAGCTTGTGAAGCGGAGGTTACTTGCTGGAGCTGGGCGCGGCGGTGAGCGCGACTGACCCGCACACCGGGCTGGGAGGACAGTGCGGGGAAGGGAGGTGAACAGTTTGTACAGTGCGGTGTCGGTGGCAGGTCGTGTTCGGCTAGAGAAGGTCGCATTCTCCGTTGTAGCCTATGGTGTGGAGAGCTTTGCGGATGCAACCCTATTAGATGGCGACGTGCTCAACGCACCCGTGTTCCCGACAGAGCTAAGGCATCAACGCCATTATTTTTCCGCAGTGCACCACCCCACCGGAAATCTTCCGCGTGCCTGCGTCGCGTTGAGCCCTTCCAGCCCATGCTGCTGCCTTGCGCCGTGTAAGTGCGCAGATGCACGGCCACGCCTCAGCAGGGCGTGACGACGGCCGTTGTGACCACGCCCCGGAGCCTCCCGGATGTGTCGTGACCGGGCGGCGGTGTCACTCAGCACAGCCGTAGCGCCGCCCTCTGCAGCGGTCCGGCCTGCAGGCGGCGGGGACGCTCTGTTTGCGCGCGAAATAAACGGCGCGGTGTGCAAAACACGGCTGATGATAAACACGGCGGGTGTTTCAATATACAGACTAGCAGCCCCCCCCCCCCCCCCGGCGGTGGTAATTGGGGGTTGGTGCGAGGGGGGAGAGCGGACGTGCTTGTTGGTGTCCACAGCGCGGACGGATGGCGGCTCGCACCAGCGCAACGAGCCGCATCCGTGTGCATGTTGGACACCATGCGGAAGGTCAGAGGGAATAAGCTCAGGGAGTTCGCTGAGCTTAAGTCAATACCTTTTTAAGACCGGCCAACTCTATGACCTGCCAATTTAGACTGCGAGTGACACGCTTTTGAGGATATTATGTCCCACCTGTCCTATATGGTCCAGGATCCAGAGCATAATTCATAAAGCAGTATCACGAACCTAATTGTTTTCAAAAAGCGTGGTACCAGCATACGTCATTAACGCAAGCGATGGAACTCCACCGCTTGTCCATATGTGGAACCAAAAAGCCAGATTCAAATGGGCTGCATGTTGAATCTTCAGATATATTAAAGACTCTCTAACTCAGTATGACAAGATGCGTCAAACAACCATCTGCTTACTTCCTAAGATCAGTGGAGCCTTCCTTACTTACTAGTCTTCCTTTTTTGATCAAATTCAACGCCAGGGATAAGGCAAATCAGATCTGCCCGTGCCTATTTGGTGTGTTTACACAGCACCATTGATCAGTGCGTATGTGAATGGTTCCGTTCTCTGATGATTCAGGGTGATTATTGACATTTTCGTTAGGTGCTTAGCTAGCGCGAGTCCCAATCCATGTCTGCTATACTTGGAAAACCAAGATCATGGATAGATATATTGTCAAAATAAGAAAGGTAATGTGCTTGAAAACAACGGCAAGCATGACATGTGATGCTTAACGAATCGAGAGCAAAATATGCTTCGAATTTAGTGCATCCTTTTTAGGTGTTCCTGTCTACTTCTCCCTTCATTTCCAGTAAAATGAGCACGCGATTTGAGAAATTGTGAAGCGTCGGCTCCTTATAATTTTGAGTGGTTAAACGCAAATGTCATTAACAGCCTTAAACTATTCCAAAGTCTCCGCATAACGAGATTTGACTTTAGATGCCTTGGTGTGCGAGAGAACGTTTTATTTCGTAAAAACAAACAATTGTTAACTTATGTAACTGCATCGATATTGCGGGCCGCTGGACATGCACGTCGATGACCTGGTGCTACTTGTGCTGCATGCCAGTGAGCTGGTGCTGCTGGTGCTGCATGTCAGTGAGCTGGTACTGATGGTGCTGCATGTCAGTGAGCTGGTGCTGCTGGTGCTGCATGGCAGTGAGCTGGTGCTGCTGGTGCTGCATGTCAGTGAGCTGGTGCTGCTGGTGCTGCATGTCAGTGAGCTGGTACTGATGGTGCTGCATGTCAGTGAACTGGTGCTGCTGGTGCTGCATGTCAGTGAGCTGGTGCTGCTGGTGCTGCATGTCAGTGAGCTGGTGCTGCTGGTGCTGCATGGCAGTGAGCTGGTGCTGCTGGTGCTGCATGTCAGCGAGCTGGTACTGATGGTGCTGCATGTCAGTGAGCTGGTGCTGCTGGTACTGCATGTCAGCGAGCTGGTACTGATGGTGCTGCATGTCAGCGAGCTGGTACTGATGGTGCTGCATGTCAGTGAGCTGGTGCTGCTGGTGCTGCATGTCAGCGAGCTGGTACTGATGGTGCTGCATGTCAGCGAGCTGGTACTGATGGTACTGCATGTCAGTGAGCTGGTGCTGCTGGTACTGCATGTCAGCGAGCTGGTACTGATGGTGCTGCATGTCAGCGAGCTGGTACTGATGGTGCTGCATGTCAGTGAGCTGGTACTGATGGTGCTGCATGTCAGTGAGCTGGTACTGCTGGTGCCGCATGCCAGTGAGCTGGTACTGCTGGTGCTGCATGTCAGTGAGCTGGTGCTGCTGGTGCTGCATGTCAGTGAGCTGGTACTGCTGGTGCTGCATGTCAGTGAGCTGGTGCTGATGGTGCTGCATGTAAGTGAACTGGTGCTGCTGGTGCTGCATGTCAGTGAGCTGGTGCTGCTGGTGCTGCATGTCAGTGAGCTGGTGCCGTTCCAGGACAGCTGCGAGCGGTACTGTGGCCGTCTGGCGTGCCGCGCCCCTCGGCTCTCATCACACACCATCTGGCCGCGCCTCGTGCCGATACGTTGCTCGGGCATGCTCGTGGCTCAGTTCATCTGCTGCAGCCAATCGCTGGGCACCAGTCTGCCATTGTCGGATGCCGATTGCTGGGCGGGTGTGCATGCGGCCAGCTTGCCTTTCGGAAGGACGCTGTGACGTACCGCCCGCCCTGCCTGCATTCAGAGGTGCCTCGATATGTGCTTATTCCATGGCCTCCAGTGGTGTTTGCGCCGGTGCTCTTTTTGCCGAGAGAAAATGGAGGCTCGTCACGGCGTCAAATGAAGCATAAGTTAGGAGGAGTGAAACACCGTCTTGCATTACAAGCATGCATATGTTATTCCTTTTGGTGAGAGCATACTTCATCCAGTGTAATACAGCGCGTTTTTCCTGACACGTGCTTAAAAACAGACATCGGTTCCGCATGTGAAATTAAATCAGCATGTTAAATTACAATGTGAATCACCGAGCGTGAATCACCTTGCACGCTGGACTGACGAGGTCCTCTGACTCAGGCGAAACACACCACCCGAGCTACACACAGCAGTACACAGCTCAGCTCGAGACGGACGTCTTGGAACTCCCGCTGGCGAACCCGTGACAGCGCTTGGCTACCACGAGGACCGCGAGCTTAAACACGCCAGTCCAGCCCGCTCTATATTGATATCAATCGATGAGATTACTGCCATGTGTGAAATGCAGCCAAGACCCTTCGCCCTAATATAAATGCACAGAGCGATGAGATCGGTGTTTAAGTCCATGCACGTACACTTGCTTCACGCCGTGCATGGAATGAAATATAAAAGGGGAGCGTATGAATAAACAACCATGGCGGTTCGCATCTGCGTTGTGGGCACAATACTGATCTGTGGGCTATACAAGACGTGCGTCACAGAGAGGTGGTCCTGATAAAGCCCGTCTTTCCCCCGACGTTTGTAAAATTACCCCATTGTGTTTTGAGTCTATCTGACAAAAAGTCAATTGTAGGCTTAAAAGCAATGCGTCAAATGCCTTGAGATGGCCAGATGAACCCCGCGATTACAGGCGTCAAGAGATAACACATTCCCATTTACATGGAACGCTGGTGGAACGTTCTTTGTTCTCGCAGAAGCATTATGCTGTAGAAACACACCATAAGAATCCCGCGTGATGGTGTGAACGTAGGGGCACCCCGAGATTGAGATTAATGTTCAAATTCCACGAAAAGTGGCTGAGTGCCCCCCGTCTCGTCCCTCCGACCTCATGTTACTAATCCTATGCTTGAAGGGCATTAGACTACGACCATCCGCCCTTGTTTGGCTATCGTTTGATTATGCACAGTAATGATCGCTGAAACCCATAAATCATAAAACCCGTCGGATAATTGAAATGAATCGCTATCGACACCGATACAGGGGCGCCCTGCAGCGTCGCGCTCCTTGCAGCCCACCCACGTGCGGCACCGCATGGTCCGGTTGTAAGGCGACAGTGACGCACCTCGCCCAGCGCCTGTTCTGGGCGCGATACAGTTAGGTGCCGCTGCCACGTTGCATGCGAGTGCCGCCGGAGCCTTATGTTTATGCGATGGGGACATCCGCCCGTCGCGGTTGTTTAGTACATGGCCATCGGGGACGTTAGCGAACATGGGACTAAGCTTAATGGCTAGGGTGGACGGACAAACCGGAAAGGCAACAGAGGGCGCCACAAACTCAGATAACGAGTAAATACTCGGAACCTATATGAACTTTGAGGTTTCAGAGTGTCAACATACTTCGCGGTAAAATATTAATTTTTCTACAGATCTGAAGCGTAATGGAGGTGTTTCACCAGAGGTAAAACAAAGGGAAATCCCACGAATATTACGGATGCCGGTGTCCAGGATGGCGGCGCTGGCCAGACAGCCAGCTCGCCAGCTGACTGCTGAATTCATGCCAAGGCATGGTGACAAACTGATATAATTTACAACAATGCTCTTTTTAGCCATGAGAGTTGCAAAAGGCACTATATATTCAAAATTTAGGATTCGAAATGCCAAAGAAAGAAACAAAACAACTTTCAGTGAGTCAAAAGGAACAAAACTCAAAGTGATAGAAGCCGAAACGACCGAGATCAAAGGCACTAAAGGAAATGTTAAAAGGCCTAAGGTAGTGAAATCCGGCTGAGCGCCGAGTCAAACGGGCAAAGATCAAAAGGCAAAGAAGAACCCAAACGGATACAGGTCCACCTCAGGTCAGGACACGAGTAAGATGCAAAAAGTAAACTAAGTCAAACGTCAAGATGAGATGCACCTAAATTGGGCAAGTCCTGGCACCCGTCTGAACCAAATCAGGGCCGCTCGGCGCGCTCCGAGGGACCACCGGGGCTATTTGCCTCATTCGCTTGGGCTGAGGCTTCCTTTAAGGCCACTAGTCGGTATGGAGGCCCCCTAGTCAGGAACTACGGGGCTTCCTAACAGACCAGTGAAAACCAAAGGCCCCGTTTTGGTTTTGGTAGAGTTGTAGACGGCGCGGCAAGGGGGTGGGGGGACAGGGAGATGATGGAGGAGGGAGGTGGTTGTCTCCTTTCCGACGGCTGGAGGAAAGCAATTTAATGGTCGCTCCAATTAAGACGCCCTTTTACCCAAGCTGAAAGTTTGGTAGCAACATAAATATTATCAAATTAAATAGAAGAGCCGCCTGACTAAGCTAGGGGGCCATGAATTGGGTTCAGGAGGTCTTTTCTTTATCGAGAAGTCGCTGTCATGGATGAGGAATGACCCTCTTTAAGGCACGGGACCTCCTGATCTGGAACAGGATCTGGATCAGCATTAGTCCCAGATCAGGAGGCCCCATGTCGGGATAAGGAAGCCCTTCACTGGGCTGGGGCATTTCATTCATACAGGAGCTCGTGATTATTCCACCTAAGGTAAGGCAGACGTACGGCACCTAGAGCCGCGACAGGTCGTGTTTGACCTGCACTTCGATATGCACGCTCATCTCTAGTGCTCAAAAGTCCCTAATCAGGCACAATGAGCACGCCACATCTACTCCATCCGGAAGTACTTCGGTTTTAATTCCAGAAGGATGACTGGCAGAATGTAAGTGCCGTTTTTCCTGGTAAACTATCACTTAAGGGATCGGAATTTTTGATGCAGGCAAGTAACAGCCTCGTTCGTGCTTTTTCATTATTTATTTAGTTTTGCGCAATGCAGCGATGGCCGGATAGAGCCGGCGCTATCAATGGGCTCATCTTACTTCAAGAAAC